TAAGCCAAAGCAACCAAAGATCAAAGACTTTAAGCCTCTCAATTTCCCCTCGGCAGCCTCGCCTTCCCTGCACCTACTCTCTCTTTCTGCCCTTTAAAGATTCAAACACACACAGAAGGACTTTTAGCTTGTGGGACCTGCCTCAGGTTAACAGGTCAGCAGATCTGCCCAGCATAATGTGACCACAAGACTGTGTGTTACACCGTGTTTGACCTTTTGCAATGAAAGTCTAAGTGAATTAGCACTGCAGTTCCTTTATTACCTTTATTAAAATGTCCAAAATCATATTCGGAAAAGAACGCAAACCAGCTCTTGTCAATCTCTGTTGGTTTATATGGAAAATGCTAACTAGCATTCTTTAAAATGAGAAGAAATTTGGTGTGTATTCATTTTAAGAGCTGGAGTCCAGGAGCAGATGCAGAGCATAACAGCCAGTGATATCATTGCTCATGATCTTATAGCCAAAGGTTTCAGGAAACAGCCATGTGTGGGAATAGGAGTTTGACCGAGAAGGAAGCAGTGAGGGAATGGGGGGCTGTTTGCAGCTCTTCTTCACTGAGCCCTGGGCTTTTATTCCATTTGATTTGTTCCACGAGCTGTGTCTCTCGGTTGATGTGGATTTAGGACTTTATTCTGGCTGCTCCGCTACCCCACTGCACAGAGCAGAACAGCATGGCATTCAGCTCTACTGCAAATGACTCTGTGAACAGTTCCACATTGCCCAACCACAATAAAGAGGTACTGCACTGAATTTATTTGAATCAAGTATCATTTCCACATTAATAAAATATATTACATTATATCACATTCATTTACTTTTGGCAACAATTGTAGTGATGTAATCAAATTTAGTTTATGTGGAAATGATGGACACACTGGAATCAAGTAAATTCAATGTATTATGGCTTTGAATCAATTTGAATAAAATTGTAAATGTTGATAATTTATTGCATATATTTTAATATTGATGTGACAACAGCAATCGATAAACAACTATTATTAGTAGTAGTAGTTTGTTGTGTAGATGATAACAACAGACAGAATCAGTTCAGTTAATAACTGTAATATAATAATATAATATATATTATATATTATATTACTATCATTGTTTTTTATTATAAGAGCTGTTAGTTTATATATATATTCACATTTAATTTAATGGAGCTGCAGTTGTTGATAACGATGACTAAATCAGTGTAATTAAATAGCTATTATTATTATTGTTATATAGTCATTATTATTATTATTATTTTTAGCATTATTATTATTACTTCATTGTTATTGTTGTTGATATTATTGTCATAGTTGATGTTAGTGTTAGATGATGATGATGATGATGATTGCGACGACTGAGTTAGTGCAATTATACCCTATTTAAATTATTATTATTATCCATCCATCCATCAAATAAACCGCTTATCCTTCTGGGTCGCGGTGGGGTGCTGGAGCCTATCCCAGCTGTCATTGGGCGGAAGGCTATTATTATTATTATTATTATTATCATTATTATTATTATTATTATTATTATTAGCATTATTAGCATTGTTATTATTATTATTTCATTGTTATTGTTGTTGTTGTTGATGTTGGCGTTAATGTTGTTGTTGTTGTTGATGATGATGATGATGAAATCAGCGCACTCTCCTTTATTATCATGATTGTTATTATTATTCCAGGCTGTGCATTGTGTGTGAGGCGCGCGCAGAGTTGCAGTGAAATGCGGTGGGAGGCAGCGCGGGGAGGTTAATCCGAGTTTAATACACTGATGCGCAGCACAGGAGCGCCGCTCTGATGATTGTGTTATCTCTGCCCAACATTTGGGTCTCCCTCAATTTCAACCCAGCCAAATAGCTGCGAGAAAGTGCAGATGGAGGGACTGTGCGCGCCCGAGGAAAAAATGTTATTAATAGCTAAATAACTTCCCCATACTTTCACTAAAGCTCTCTATCACCATTCCAGATGGGTTTGTTTGAAGTGGTCTCTGCGCTCATCCCGCCGTCCCTCCTTCTTTCAACGAATTTTATTTCGTTCTCCTCACAGCCCCTAACTTCAGGTTCTCTCTCTAAACAGGCCAGCAGAGCGACCACTGCCCGCTGAGGATGCTCAGTCACCAGCTGAGGGTCTTCATTTATTTAAAAAAAAACAGTGAGGTTCGCTCAGATTGATCAGACTGGAACATCAGGTTTTAGTGACGAAACTGAGGGAAATTGCCGAAATTAAAATGCGTTGTTTTCACCATTTGTGCCTGAATAGATGTCCTGCTTCTGCGCTGTTACATGAGCTGGGGGTTCGTTTCATAAAGACAGTCGTAAATTGGGTTGTATTGTATCCGAGAGAGTCACTCTAAACCGAACAGGACAAACGATGCGATTGATTGACAGCTCTGTGTTATCATCTCTGAATCTGAACGTGTTTCATTCGTCTGTGTGTTTGCGCTGCTTTAAAGCGAGTCTTCTAAGTGATCAGGTCTTCATTAATGCGTTGACGTCAGTCTGACTGTGAATCACACGTCTTAGTAAATAAAGAAGAAATAAATTAAATAAATAAAAATATCAAAAATCCACCATAATAATGAGAATACTGTAAATGATGTGTGTATCCAGTCATTTCTGGCCACGCTGCGTGTTCAGATCATGCAGGTTAGCTAATGGCAAAACGGGGCCACTTCAAATGTGTGATCTAAATATACAGCATAATTAGGTGAGAGAGCGAGCAGCGCTGCTAATGGACTTTTTTTCTCTCTCTCCTCGGGATTAAATGCGGGGCTAAATATGACTCTCCTTTCTTCAGGCTCGTAAACAGCTGGCTTAGGCTATTTGTTTCTATGTGACACGGGCGTGTTTGGTGTGCGCTCGCGCGTTTTTTTCCCCCTCGTTCCTCTGAGCGCGACACATCAGCTGGAGCGATCCAAAACTAAAATAAAACAACAACAAAAAAAGAGCAAATAAATCAAATGTATGGGGCTACGAAGCCCCCCGACAACTGCGAGAGAACCTTCAACATCTCATGAATTCGCGCCCAGGGCGAGCCGGCGAGAGGCGCTCAGAGATGAAAGTGGAGGAGAAATAAAAGGCTCAATTTAATCTGCTTTAAAACCCTTCAACATATCGTTTGTGCGCCGAGGACTCTGCCGAGCAGCGAGTGCTGATGCGCCGCATGCCTGAGAGCTATTACACCCCTCCAACATAGACCCCCATTCACTGCACACCGTTTTCATTAGCAGCTCTAATAAGTCTTAACGTTATTAAATGCCAGCGCGATGATCGAGTGAAACAAGCCCAAAGACGACGAGGGTTTTTTTTTCCTTTTTTTACGTCTTGAAAGAAAACAGTCCGGGTGTCACCACGTGGAAAGAAACGGGCTGAGAAACACACACACACACACACACACACACACACACACACACACACACACACACACACGCTCACTGCGATAAATAAACCAGCAGAAATAAACACGACGAGCCCGTGCACGGCCTGTCCACTCTGCACATTTACTTCCTTGTGAAATATAGATATGAATAGTTTACCATTTTCAACAGCCAGAAGCTTCAGCAACCAAAACTGTTAGACAATTTACCACCAGAATATACAACCGAAAACATACTGCCAGTATAGATTCACTAACACGTTCCTCAATTATATATATATATATATATATATATATATATATATATATATATATATATATATATATATATATATATGCACATAATTTCCCACATGAAAAAAACACACAACACATTTTTGTCTTTCACCTTTGAAAACAATCGCGTTTCAATTCATCTGCAAACGACAAAATCAGGTCAGCTCAAAGCAGCATTACTAACGTGAACTAATAACGCATTATAATAATAATGTCCTGTAATAATGCGTAATAACAATATAATAATGCATTTTTGTACGTTCGCCGTTTGAATTGCAGTAAACTCCAAATGAATGGAGTTTAAATGAAAACTAAACTGTAAAGGAGAAATGGGGGTAATTCGCAGTGAAGCTCTGGCTAAGATTGCAGGCTATGTTTCGGCAGAGTTGGGAGCCACCACGGGGTCTCATGTTAAACACACACTATGTGCCATTAAAATAAGTGAGAGAAGACCCCCTCCTTCCTCACCCCCCCTCAACCAAGCCCGTCAGCTCAGGAGCAGAGCAGCGATGGGCCAAAAAAAAAGGAGCAGTGGGCATTTCCAAACAAGAATAAACCATTTTGCACCCTCCAAATCTCATTCTCTTCCAACAGACGAGCCCATAATATTACAAACCTATCTACCGGCGGGGCGCACTGAATAATTCATCTGCCTTCAGTTCTCCTCTCGGCCTTTTGTTGCAAGTTTTCTCTCCCTCCTTTACGGCTTTCTGAACGTGAAAGGACGGATCTACTCCTCTTCTCCATGCCTTCCTCGCTTTTTAGATGTGGCCTTTGTAGCGCGAGGGAAAAAGGGCCTTCAGTGGAGCGGGGGTCTTCGCAGCGAAGTTCATCTTCAAGTTTAGTGAATGACGGACTGTCAGTCGCGTTTGGAAGCGGAATGTTCCTCCGCCCAGAGGAGAGAAACGAGCGCGGGCCGTTCAGAGGAGTAGGCCGGAGGTGTGAAGGCCGGGGAAGGTGCGGCTGAGGGGCAGATTAGGGCGCAGTGCCGCTGCGGGGTGTAATTGAATCTGATCGCCACATCGCTCATCTGTCACTTACCGTTTGGAGGGAGCGTTTAGGGCTCCGCGGGACCCGAAACACGGCCGGTATAAATCATTAAGGAGGAGGTTCAGTCAAACGGCTGGACTGACAGCTTCACAGCGAGCCTGATTTACAGCGCTGCTCAACAAACGAGCACGAATTAACCTTCCTATCAGTGTAAACCCCCCAAACCCCGCTCTGACCGAGCCGAGGCTGCTGTCCCGCAGAGGGGCTTTCAGCTCGCATGTGCAGGTGGAGAAACGCAGATGAGCCGCAATGACCACACGACCACAGCCTCGCAGGAAGAAGACAGAAACTCCCCGGGTTTTTACCTTTGTCTCCCAGGATGCCGTCGATGCTGTGCTTGGTCTTCTTCTCTCCGCTCTCGTCTTTCTTATCGCACTCATCCTCGTCCTCTTTCTTTCCGAACCGGGCGCGGAGGACTCGACTGATGGAGCTCACTGTAAAGGAGAAGATCATTACAAGGATTAAACTGAGGAAACAACATAATATTAAAATCTACAATAATAACAGTAATACATTTATGACGGCGTGGAAGAACATATGGAATAAAAAATAAAACAGTACAATGTAAAACAATAAAAAAAGCGAACAACATGTTAAATAATAATAATAATAATAATAATAATAATAATAATAGTAATAATAATAATAATGATACATTTGAGAGGGCGTGGACGAATATATGGAATAAAAGATAAACAGTACAATGCAAAACAATCGAATACCTTGCAAATGTTACATAATAATAGTTATTCAAAAATCAAATATATAATAATAATAGTAATAATAACAATAATAGTATTAATAATAATAATAATTATTATTATTATTATTATTATTATTATTATTATTATTATTATTATTATTATTGTCGTAATTACAATAATAACAATAAAACCTTTGAGATGGCGTGGAAGAATGTATGAAATGAAAAGATAAAAAAATTAAATGTAAAACAATTTTAAAAAACCGAATACCCTGCAAATGTTAAATACAACTACTACTATTACCACTAATAATAATAATAATAATAATAATAATAGTAAAAATAATTAATGTGTTATATTAATCAGTAATTACTATCTCACGTTTATATGTCCATACTAATTATAATCAACAGGCTGTAATAATACATTAATTAACTTGCAAAAATGCAGTGATCAGTGTGGGAAGTGTGGGAATATTATGAAAGTGCAGTGATCAGTCAGAGGTGTGGGAATATTATAAACGTGCAGTGATCAGTCAGAGGTGTGGGAATATTGTAAAAGTTACAGTGATTAATCAGAAGTGGGGGAATACTGTAAAAGTGCAGAGGTGTTCGAATATTGTAAAAGTTATAGCAATCAGTCAGAGGTGTTGAAATATTGTAAAGAGAGAGTAGTCAGAGAAGTAGGAATATTATAAAAGTGTAGTGATCAGTCATAGGTGTGGGAATACTATAAAAGCGCAGTGATCATTCAGAGAAGTAGGAATATTATAAAAGCACAGTGATCAGTCAAAAAAAAAAAGTAGGAATACCATCAAAGTGCAGTGATTAGTCAGAGGAGTGGGAATATTATAAAAGTGCAGTGATCAATCAGAGGAGTGGGAATACTGTAACAGTGCAGTGATCAGTCAGAGGAGTGGGAATATTATAAAAGTGCAGTGATCAGTCAGAGGAGTGGGAATATTCTAACAGTGCAGTGATCAGTCAAGGGAGTGGGAATACTGCAACAGTGCAGTGATCAGTCAGGGGAGTGGGAATATTATAAAAGTGCAGTGATCAGTCAGAGGAGTGGGAATATTCTAACAGTGCAAAGATCAGTCAAGGGAGTGGGAATACTGCAACAGTGCAGTGATCAGTCAGGGGAGTGGGAATATTCTAACAGTGCAAAGATCAGTCAGAGGTGTGGGAATGTTATAAAGGTTCTAGATGTCAGTCAGAGGAATGGGGATACTGTAAAAGTGCAGTGATAAGTAAGAGGAGTGAGAATACTGTAAAAGTGTAGTGATCAGTCAAAGTGTGGGAATATTGTACAAGTGCAGAGATCAGTAAGAGGTGTGGGAATACTGTAAGAGTGCAGTGATCAGTAAGATATGTAAGAATACTGTAAGAGTGCAGTGATCAGTAAGAGCTTTGGGAATACTGTAAAGGTGCAGTGATCAGTAAGAGGAGTGGGAATACTGTAAAAGTGCAGTGATCAGTAAGGGGTGTGGGAATACTGTAAGAGTGCAGTGATCAGTAAGATATGTAGGAATACTGTAAAAGTGAAGTGATCAGTAAGAGGCGTGGGAATATTGTAAAAGTTGTGCTTACCAGATGAGGCCTCACCTGAGGGAACTGTGCTTCTGTCACACACTCCGTCCTTCAGCAGCTTGTCTCGGATCTCCCAGCTGAACATGCCTGGGTTCTCACGCTTATACTCCTCTATCCTTTTTTCCACATCCGGAGTGGCTACCTGCTTTAGGGTGGAATTCAGAAATAAAGGGGAAGAAAGAGGAATACACAGAGGGAGAGGGGTATAGGGATGGGAAAGATGAGAGATAGAGATTCAGTTTAATTGTGGACAGTTTGAAAATAAATAATCACATCAGTTTAGTTCTCTTTCTAACTGCCATTATTTCTAATGCTATTATTGCTATAATAATAATAATAATAATAATAATAATACTATTACAGTAGTAACAATACCACCATCAACAACAATACTACTAGCACTAGCTATAATAATAATAATGATAATAATAATAATAATAACAGAATCTGTACTCCTATGTCCTCTTCTTACCCTGGGCTTGCTCCCTCCTATCGCTCCAGGTCTGATGGAGCCGGTCTCCTGGTACCTGCACAGGATCTTGGAGACGCAGCCGTGCGACACGCGCAGCTGGCGGGAGATGACGCAGGGCCTGATGCCGTGGTGCGCCATCTCCACGATCTTATGGCGGATGTGGTTGGGCAGCGGTCTGCCGTTAATGAACACTCCGCCGAGCTGATTCACTCTGCCCTGACCCAGAGGAGTGGACACTGCGGCCAGGAAAACAGAATGCATTACAAACACAGCTCCGCACGGAAGGAGAGTTTTCTAGAAAACAAGCGCAACACGCTCACTTTCACAATTCAACATGTTCACAGGAAAAAACCCTCTTTTACAATTAGAGTGAATATAAAGTTAAATTACTGGACTTTCTCTTCTGAATCAACACCGCAGAATCCTCACAGCTCAGATCTCACTTTACTGATACACATTTAAAATCGCCCGTTTAACTAAATTACATAACCGACTGCACAAACTTACACTACACACACAAATACACACCGCTAAGAACACACTTACACAGAAATACAAACAATAAAGAAATACGGAAACGAACAGAAAAAAGAAAGAAAATGGAAAGAAAAAAGAAAAACAATCTTACCGTAAAAAATGATTTCATTTAGTCTTTAAAGTGTTTAAACGTGTTTTAGAGATAAAAAGCTGAACAGAGCAGGCGCTGATTGGAGCGTTTCAGGTTGATGTAAAATATTACTTTATTTCCTGTAAATTACATTTTTCCTTTTTTATTTAAAGTATCTACTGAGCCGAATAAAATCAGTGAAATTGCTTGCTACCACATTTTTAGGCTGAACTGAAGAGACAGTGTTTACAGTGTAAAAGGCTTTAATGTGTCAGTGTCTCAGTGGGTCTGTGAGGAATCTGCAGCTGCCACTGTCCGCTCTCATTATTCTCTCTCCTGCTTTACAGATATTAATGTAGCTTCTCTCCAGCGCTTAAACACACACACACACACACACACACACACACACACACACACACACACTGCTCCACATTATTATTTACATGCTCAATTCACTTCTCATCCACTGCGGGTCCATGAAAAAATAATCACTGAAATGTCCATCAAATAGCGTGATAACGAGCTCCGAGCTCAACTCCAACCAACTAATCAACTAGGTCTAAAATCTTTTATCAGGAATCCAAATTGATTTATTATCTATTTATATATTTCTTTCATATATATATATATATATATATATATATATATATATATATATATATATATATATATATATAAACCCTGGTGGAAAAATGGAAAAAACATATTTTTTGTTAAAAAATAAAAGCCACAATACGCAATGATGCACCACTTACTAGTTGGAAATTAAATGAAGAGAAAAAGGAAGGAAAAAGGAAAAAGAAAAAAGGAAAAAAAAACTACATAAAGGAAAGAAAATAAAGAAAACAGGATCAAATAAAACCAAGGAAAGTGAAAGTACAAAAGTGCGAGAAAATAAAGGGTAAAAATGCAAAATTGTACGATTGAATATATATTTTCCTTTTTTTATGAAAAAAATATAATTACATAAAAAACAGAACAGAAAGGCTCTAAATCTAAAGAAGGTAAATGAATCTGCCGGGTCGAGTAAAAAGGCCGGACTGCGGGAATGGTGTGCGGAGCTGACCCACCTTCCAGGGGGAAGCCGGTTCGGGGGTAGTTTTGTCCAGGAGCTGGGCGCATCATCCTCGGCACTGTCCCCGGTAAAGTGGACATTCTGCTCTTCAGTCAAACGCGCACGCGGAGAGTCCACTCAGGACAAAAGCCGCCAACACACACTGGGCCGAGCAGAGAGCTGCGGGGACGGACAATCCCATAAACTGATGTTTAAAGAAGGACAAACTCCTGAGCGGAGAGAGAGAGGGAGAGAGAGAGAGAGAGGGCGCGGGGCAAAAAGAAGTCCAGCTAAACCCGAACGGCGCGTGCGTCGGGGGGAAGGATAAGGAGGGAGGGGAAGAGGAATGGAGGAGGAGGAGGAGGAGGAGGGGTGGAGTGTTGGGGTTTGGGGGGGTGTAACTCCAAAAACGCTCTGGAGTGGACAGTAAAAAACTCGCCTAATTGTGCGCGGTCTTTTCTTCAGAAGGTCTGGATGGAGTTTGTTGGCGCGGGTGAGTTTGGGGCGCGCGGTGAGCGCTCATAGGCTCGCGGGGCCTTCTTTTATCCGCGTGCGGACCGAGGGGTACGGGCGAGCGCCACCGACCAATCAGAGCAGAGCGGAGACGCTCTCACTCCCGCTGAAGAGAAAACAAACACTAACGCGTGATTGCTCAACTTCCTTTCGGTAACAGCACGAGAGAGAGAAAGAGCGAGAAAGAGTGAGAGATAGAGAGTGAGAGAGAGTGACCAGAAACACACGCTGCACAATCTGAGACTACACACAGCTTCTGGTCTGATGGCTGAACTTTATTCCCGCCGTTCAGAGCTCAGTGTTTGAGAGTGTGTAGAGCTGCTGTTATTAGAGAGACTGAGTGAGCAGTTTAACCCATTCAGCTCCCAACACTACATTTACTATCGTGAGGACACCCAGCAGAGCTGGTTCTGATTGGTCTAAAGTGATGAGCTTTTGTATAGCTGTGCCTCGCATAAAGATCTAATGATACTCATTTAAACTTATTCATCACGTGAATGTTTCACACTTTTATTCACAAATTTAATCTTTCTATAATTGTGTTAAACCATGAAACCTTACCCAAAGCCTGAATTTAATATGACAAATAAAGTTATAAAAGCTCACTTTTTAGCCATATACTTTTGTCTATCTGGATTCAGATTTGTGCTTAGACGAGCTCAGCTCAGACAACACCTGAACCAAACGGTTTCAACGTTTAAATGTGGACATTAAAGGGTTAATAAACAGTGCTGAGTGGAAATCCTACTTCAGCAGGCCTGCGGCATACATTCGAGAGGTGAAGGCAGTGTTCTCATTAAACATATGAAGGGCAATACAATTAAAAATAAAACAGTCTGGTTAAGCAACTTTGTTTTTCCTTTTTATTCTTTTTTAACTAAACAATGTTTCCATACTTCGGCATGTTGTTAACGCACTGGCGCTTGTCACTTTAAAACAAACTTTCCTTCAGTGACGGACAAAACGAAACAGCACAGATTAACACACAAGCCAAAATAAACGAAAATCGTCTTTGAATCGCCAAATCGACACGACTACACGATTACGTAAAATCTATATTTCCTCGATCTACAGTAAAGTCCATCATTAATAGGTATTTCTGCACTCTCGAGAACTGTTTATGGTTATTATTTATGGTATCATGGGTCCATTTTTTTGCACACGTCCGAATATCTGGACGAATATAAAAAAGCACGATTGTTGTTCGAACAATTAAAAGTGCTGAGGGTGAAATGGTAAATCAGCTCAGTTCTTTAGGAATTAATGCGCAGAGTCGCTAATTTTCTGCGCCTGCGCAAAAAAACACCACTAATGACAGCGTTTCAGCAGCGCCAAAATATTAACAACACAATTTCCCCTCTTTAATATTTAATATGGTTTTAAAATACACTGGACTGCTGTAGTGTGGCAGTACTGTACTGCCATATCCTCACAGCGCAGTGTGTGTGTGTGTGGGGGGGGGGTGTATGCTGGGACTTTTGACCGCTCGTGCACTCAGCAAATGACGGTCATTAATGACCTGAACATGGCGTTTAGTTAACAGCGGAATCATTTACTCAGAGAGAAGAGGAGCGGCTCCTCAAAGCGCGCGCGACTCCCAGGAGACCAATCACAGCCGGAGCGCCAGTCTGATCTGTGATCTCCTCTGACAGAGAAATGTCAGACATATCTCTGTGAGAAGCTGTAGTTTTATTCGAATTAATGCTACGATTATAAATAAATCAAATATCTTTCAGTGACTCATTCGCCATCATTCACTTCGACTTCTATAAGGGTAAATAAAACAGGGAATCATTCACAGCCTTGAAGCGATTCTACCTCCATTTAACACTGAAAAAAGGTGCTTTGAATGTCACATCAGAGCAACACTGTTTATTTTTCCAGCTGACTTCTTTTGGCACCATTTGTGTTCATTTTATATACTGCGTTCATTTTCAGTCGAAACATTTACATCACATACATTCAAAGCTTTTCAAGTTTTCAGCCTGTTTCTCTTATTATGGTTGAAGTGGAATTATGTCTTCACTTCTACAGGTTTATGAATGAATCTTTAGTCTGTATTTAGCAGAAAATATGATAATTATACTAATCTCTACTAATATCTATACTAATATTAGTACTATATATTATTATCTGTACGAATGTATTGATGTTTTGATTGTTCTTAAAAAAATATATTGTTATTATGAAGAAAATACGTTTCCTCCAACAGTGGAATCAAATAAAATCACCTACAAAAAATAATAAATAAATTTTAAAAATAAAACAATTGCTGTCATTTTTCACCAGATATCTTGCACTTTGGACTGGACACATTAGTGTGGTCCATTAAAACTGTGGTCAACGCTGTCCGATCTTTTTTTTCCAGGCGCGAATCACTGATCTTGCAGCTTTCTGGATTATTTGCTGTGGTGATGCTCAGTGGCCACTTATTTTCTCCAAAAGCAGAGGAAATTCTGCAAAACTACATGACACACTTATTTTCCCGTTTCGTTTCGTGAAATGTTCGTTTAATACAGCAGCACCGCGGCACTGAGGAGGAGGAGGAGGAAGAAGAAGAAGAAGAAGAAGAAGAAGAAGCTGGTCAGTTGAAACATGTTCTATGCTCTAACTCACTGAAGAGCTTTAACATTTCAAGTTAATGTCTTTACCAGCGACACCAGTCCACCTCCTTGAAATCTACCTTCATGCAAAGTCTACTCCCAGCTAATCAGAGCTTCTCAGAAAGACTTGACCACCTCAATCAGGTGTTTTTGATGTTTTGGAGTTTTGGTTTGGAGCTGAACTTGGCAGGAAGGTAGGCAGACGTCCAGGAGAAGAGCTGGTGACCACTCGTCTGTTCAGACAGATGTAGAGCGTCCACTAGAGGGCAATAAAGCTCTAAAATCAGGAGCTCAATTAGCCATAGTTTGAAAGGGCTTAGGCCTTTACATTTATAACCACATTTAAATATATCACAGGCAAATCTGCCATTTTCTGTGGCTCTCTGGTTTGGCAATGCAGCTATTCTTACATAACCTAACAACTGTTTTATTGTACTATTTTATCTGATTCTGGTTTGTATAAAAGCCACACCATTTACTTTACAACTGCTCTAAACTCAGTGACACTAAGCCACACTGTAGTAGTTTCACTGTGCTGCTCAACATATTTCAGTCATCTACAAACACGTTTCCGGCCAGAACAAGATGTCTGTATACGTACACTTTAAAGTGGAATTCCACCAAATTTTTGAATTCTACATAATTCAGTCATTGAGATGTAAACAAAGTCATTTGTAGTTGTTTATTCTGAAATGGTGGACTACAGAGAAACTCACCAACTCAGATTTCATTACAGTGGTGGCGACAGGAACTAGGCGTCACAACGTCTGCAATGCAAATAAAGCCATGTTACTTACTGTCCCAAATGCTCAGTGAAGCTACACGTGTCTTCTGAGTGTTATATGTAATGTGGATAGTGGTAAATCCTAACACAAATGGACAAAAGGACTCTTGCTTTACACTTCTTTGCATCACTGCCATAAATGGAAAAAATATATTAAAAAAACATTTAAAATCTAAAAAACAAGAAAAAAATCACGTTTATTGCATTGCAAAATTGTTGTAAAACAATGTCTGAGACATTAGTCAAGGTATTCGTAAGCATTTCTTATAACTTTTTTTGTTTATTAGACGCCCGGTTCCTATCACCACCACCCCAAACAAATCTGAGTTGGTACGTTTCTTCAGAACGATGCATTTCACATTAAACCAATCTGAATAATTTTGTTTGCATATGAAGGACTCAACTATGGAGAAATTTAAAAAAAACAATCTATTCCTCTTTAATAGAATATACTGGATATTATTTTAAAACTCATGATTAGCAGAAAATATATCACACAAAAGGTTTTGCATTTTTGAAGCACCCTTAGGCAGGATATCACTTAGGCCTTTCTCAAAACCTTAACCCATTTTGTGTCTGAAAAACTCACAAAGGATGCGTCCAAAAATAGTTACCTGTCAAAAATAGTCTATCAGCATTACAAGTGCATTAACCCCTTAACCTTTCAGGCTTATTACATAGTAAGGCTTATTATCCCTTAACTACAAGGACTAACTAATGGAGCTTTTCTTTGGTTATGAGTGCAATAAAACTTTGGGCCCGCTGGCGAGCCCATGTCTTGGTAGGGGGTTAAATGGCCAGGGGCCACCAGAGGGCCCAAAGTTTTATTACACACTTCTATAACCTAAGAATAGCTCAGCCAGTTTGCACCAAAGTCCCTGTAGTTAATAAATAGGAAGCCTTAGTATGTAAGAAGCCTGGGACTTTAAGGGGTTACCTGGTAGGCCTATATTACATATATATTATAGTAGTATGAGGTTCTGGACACAGCCTAAATCTCTGGTTTCAAGTGCCGGACATGGAAAGTCATGTCAGTGAATGTTTTGAGTATTGAGAAGTAAATCTAAAAAATAATTCCTATAATTCCTCATTTGCAGTTGTAAAATCCTGCGTTTGTTGCCGTTCTGAGATGCAGTGTTTGTTAAAGCTCTTCTTTCGAGAAGAACACTCTGATCTCAGCTTCCTCAGAGGGCCTGGCTTTGACAGTTTGAGGGCTCGTGTGGTCAGAGTCAGACAAGTACGGGATTAACTGCTGTCTTTAAACATTTGGCACTTCCGTTCACAGACGTGCAACCTTATATATGCAGTCTGGGGTATTTTCATCCTCTCAGCTTGATTTGGATTCATTACATATAAAAATCCAAGGCAAAAACTAGTTTTAAAGAAAGACATGCTTGGATGCACACCATTCTGCACCCATTTACAGACATCATTTCATATGTTATTTGTCAAATTTTGATTGACAGAAGTATAAGAACTGAAAAAGTAAACATTTGAGATAAATCTTAAATCACTCTGCAGTTTCAGGCAATCTATTGTAGTGTTCCCTAGCCCAAGGACTTTTCAGCATCCCATATAATTGATGAGTTACA